TGCTCCACTCTCACCCACCTCCTTCATGCCTGTGAGGCTGAACCCCACCCCCCACCACCTCCTTGAAGAAGCCCACCTGGATTTGTTATGCTCGAATTCAATTCGGGACCCCCAAAAGACCACTAGAGACCACCAGAGACAAAGAGGTGTTTACTATGAGTTAGGTCTGTCCTCCGCAGGCACACAGCAACTGGTGACACTGAGAGGCCCCGGAGCCCAGGGTTTGCAGCAGTTTTATACACTCTTTGGGGAAGGCAGGGTCTTCACATACATCATAGCATTGAAGCCAGATTTAAAGTTAGGTAGTGTAGTTAGGTAAATCTGGTCTAATACCGAGTGAAATCTAAAATGGAGGCCATGCTGAGAATGATTCCAGGAAACGTAGAACAACTCATGGAATGTTAATGAAGTCCTGAAAAAGCCCAAGGCCAAAGTCCACCTCAAAGAAGTGTCCCACCCCTCGGGCCTTCCAACCTACATTCCATCACCCAAACTATAAAAAGGGGAAATAACCGCACTTCCACGGATTCCACCTCTTGGGTCCCCTTCTTTCTCCAGGAGAAGTCTTTTCTGCTGTCCTTTAGTAAACTTCTGATTTCCACTCTGACCTTGCCTTGGCGTGCTTCTTTGGTGTTATTCTTCAGCATCGGGGAAGCAAGAACTCGTCACCAGTCAACAGCGGTAACAGCATCTCTTCGCAAATCATCACACACTGCGGGAAAATCAAACAACAACTCTAAAACATGATTAGCACATTCATTGGCGGGAACAAGTTGGGTAGGGGTGATTGGTTAGTACAAGAGGGGGATTCCTTTGAACTGATTGGTTTAAGCCACGAGGGGAGAACTTGCTGAAATACTTGGTTTCCCAACATGTTATCAACCACCATAAACTACTGGGAGGGTCATCTGGCATCCCAGGTATTTTCCCTGACCCATGCTGATTGGTGGCTGCCAGGGGGTTGCTATTGGTCCCCACCTAGCCTGATTGAGTCAGGGACACCTGGCGCAGGAGATCTCTCCTGTTATTTGCAGATAAAGAACTCAGCAGGTGGATATGTGCCTAGGAGTGCTCTGTGGGTCTTTCCAAGGACAAGGGTCCTTGGGAAGGCTTTGCTCTGAGGTAGAGGCTGGTTTTTCAGATTCTCCTCAAGGATGCATCCTCCTGCACTTGGCATCTCCCGAGGCACTTCCTTGTATGTCTGAGAATCCCTCCTTTTCCAGGGCAGAGATCCTACCCGCCTCACTCTTGGGCCTCACCCAAGGTCTTGCGCACAGCGTGCAGACACACAGATTAACAGCACTGGCTGCTTTATGAGAACTGTCTGGGGAGCCTGCCCCTGTCCGCAGCCTTCTCCCATCACCACAACCTTAAATGGCATCCATCATTCAGGAAGTCGATACCAGCACGTGTCATTAATGTCACACTTCTCTCCACATTTAACTCTGAAGTAGGGCTGCGTGTTCCCATGGGTGGGCGACAGGTATTCTTTCTTAATGGGTGTAAAACAACGCCGCCTTTCCGTGGGTGCCATCTAAGCCCCATTTGACAGCTGAGAAATTGTAGGGACATGAAGGTAAGCCACTTGCCCAGGCCTGTAGCTAGTTCCTGACAGGGCAAGGCACGTCATGGGCTGGGAATGAATCCTTGTTCTGCTGGCTAGGCATGCTCTCCAAGGGCCCGGCCACCCAGCCTGCTGGTGTTCACATCCTTGTGTGACCCCCTCCACCGAAGCCATGATGACTTGCTCCTGAGGAACAGAAGTGATGGATGTCCCCTCTGAGATTAAGCCCGGGGAGACTCTGGCTCCAGTCTTGCTCCCCATCTCTGGCTGTCCCTTGCTTGCTCTGATTGAAGCCAGCTGTCACATTGTGAGCTGGTTTTGGAGACCCAGGGGTAGGCAGCCAACAGCCAACGATGACCTGTGAGGATAGAATTCTGTGTCATGGCAGGAGTGAGCCCAGAAGGTCATCCATCCTGTGGACCCTTGAGAATAGTCCCACTGAGCCACAGCCAGTTCCTGACCCACAGAAACTGTGACATAATGTGTCCTGCCTGAAGCCACTCAGTGTGTTGTAAGCCTCTAAATGTCATTTAAGCTATCAGGTTTAAATTAAATCCATGGAGGGATTAGCTCCAGAACCAGCAAAAATACTCAGAACATAGTGCTTAAAACCAAAGGAAGGGCTGGGGTTGTGGCTCAGCGTAGAGCGCTTGCCTACCACATGTGAGGCCCTGGGTTCGATCCCAGCACCACATAAAAATAAATAAATAAAACCAAAGGAAGAGGAGAAGGAAGCAATACATTTTGGTCCCTTGGGCTGCACTCTTTGCCCCAGGAGTCGTTTGTCACACAGCCATGGACAATTGATCAATTCTGATGTTTAACACCAAGTATTCACTGTGTTAGGTACAAGGCCACAGAGAGGGAAAAGATTTTACCTTTGAAGGATGCCCAGTCCCCAGTCCGGTGGGACAAGGCGTGGGTGTGATTGGGCTCTGGTGGGTTGCAGAGGGGACCACCCACCTGACACAGCCCAGAGGGGTCAGCAAAGCCTTCTGGCAGGTGTCACTCACAGAACCAGGTGTTGAAAGGTGAGGGAGAGGGCTGGGATGTGGCTCAAGCAGTAGAGCGCTCGCCTGGCATGCGTGCGGCCAGGGTTCGATCCTCAGCACCACCTATCAACAAAGATGTTGTGTCTGCCGGAAAAAAACTAAAAAATAAATATTAAAAAAAAATTCTCTCTCTAAAAAAAAAAAGAAAGAAAGAAAGGTGAGCGAGAGCTGGCCAAGTGAAGAAGGCCAGAGGATGGGAAGAGAAGGACAGGAATACCTATTTTCTCCTTGTCCTCAGTGGATGGGGGAGATTATTTTAAGAGGCCAGGGCCACAGAGATTCTGTGATGGCTTTGTTGCCTTGGGACCAGGGTCAGGGTGGCCTGTGGGTTCAACACTAGGAGTGTGGGCGGGGCTGGATAAAGATGCCTGGGATCCTGTCAGAATCAGCATTTGGGACAGACTGGGGCACAGGGTCCATTCTCTTTATAAGTTCCTTGTCTTAGCTCCTCAGAGCTCAGACATTAAGACAGGCTTTTCCCAAGGATGGCCCAGAAACTCAGAGGGAGGAAAGAAGGCCAGGCCAGGCCCTGGGGGGAAACTGTAGAGCAGAGCCATGGGTCACAGCCAGCACTTCCCTGACCCACGGCGGGCAGCTCTTGCAGCAGCCTAAGCATGGAGGAGGAAGGGGCCTGGCTTCTGGTTCTGCCTCTGCTGCTGACCCAGGGTAGGGACAGACCGTAGAAGCTTGTGCTTTAAAGCCAGGCTGATCCACTGGGAGTCCAGCTCTACCATGTACTGGGCATGCTCTCTGGACAGTGCTTGATCTCTGTGAGCCGCAATTTCCTGGTCTGTAAAATGGGATGATAAGCTAAGCATGCTGCCATACTCCTGTAGTTCCAGCTACTGGGGAGACCGAGGCAGGAGGATCACTTGGGTGTAGGAGTTTAAGGAAGACCCTGTCTCAAACTAACAACAGCAAAGGATAATAATGCCCACCTCATAGGGCTAGCATGGTGTTTAAATGAAATCCATGGAGCTCCTGAACCAGTGTAAATGCTCAAAATGCTCAAAACATAGTGGACAAAACTAAAAGGAGCATGGCCCGAAGTGGGAGGTCCCTCCAGCCCTCAAATTCTATAATTCTCAGGAAACTGCTGGCCTAACTTGGGACCACTCTGTCTTTCCCCTGTCTCATGAGAAAGAGCTGCTACTGGTAGTCTCACTTGCAGAGATGTCCACATTCATGATTTTGTCTCAGTTTTTCAAAGAACCCATTTTACAGAGGGGAGACAATGATCAATACCGCCAACTCATTTTTATTGAGCACTTGCTGTGTACCAGACCCTGTGGGACACATTTAAGCCACAGAACAATTGCCTGAGTAGCTCTGTTACTGAAGTGAGGGCTAATGGGTCACAGAGCTTTAAGCGCTGAAGCTGCAGCTTACCCATAGGCACTTGGTCCTCGGTCCTGGCAGCCCAGCTCTTAACCTCTACACTGTGCTGGAATATTGGGGCAGAGTTAGGCTTGGAAGAAAACCAGGCCTCCTGATGCCTGGCCTAGAGCTGTTTCGCTTTCTCTTATTCTTTAACTTTTTTTTTTTTTCCCTAATGTGGTAAAATACCCGTGTTAAAAGATTTACCATCTTAGCCTTTTTATTCCTTTTTTTTTTTTCAGTTCTGGTGATTGAGCTTAGGGTTGCTTTACTACTGAGCCACATCTCCAGACCTTTTCATTCTTTGTAAGGGTCTTCCTAAATTGCTGAGGCTGGCCTCAAACTTGTGATCCTCCTGCCTCAGCCTCCCGAGTTGCTGAGATTACAGGCGTGCGCCTTCACGCCCAGCTCCATCTCGGCCGGCCTTATTTGAAGTGGATGGCTCAGTAGTATTGCATTCATCCACAATGTTGTGCAATCAACCTCCAGGGCCCTTCTCATCTCCTAAAACTGAAAATGTATAACCACTAAACCATGAACTCTCCATTCCCTCTGCCTCTGGTTGGCGGCAGCTGCCATTCTACTTTGTATCTCTATGAATATGGCTCTTCTAGGTTGGAGCTGCCTTGACTCATAAAAGCCTGTCTCTGCTTTGCTCTTGAGTCATCTAGAATCAGTGTCTCTGAGATGCAGGGACCTGGACAGCCAGAGCCCCGCTTGGAGGAGGCCAAGCTTTTCCAGGATGGGTGGTCAGGGAGGGTTGCCTGGAGGTCCTAGGAGGAGAAACAGGCGGGAAGATCGGGGCCTCGGGTTTACACTTCTTGTTCCAGAAGATGAGGAGGTGGTGGGCAGTGTGACTCAGGGATGCTCGGCCCCTGTGGCCTGCCCTTTGGTTTATGACAGCCACCTCAGCAGCAACAACCTTTGCCCCCAGGTGAGCTCCGGTCAGATGGGTGGAGGCACCAGGCCATCCTAGAGGGCCAGTGGCTTGCCGAGAGGCTGAAGTGTCCAGAACCATGGGAACAGGGCTGCGCAGCCAGTCCTTGCGAGGACCCCGGCGGCACTCCTACGGGAAGCTCCAGGAGCCCTGGGGAAGACCCCTCAAGGGCCAGCTCCGCCGGGCAGTGAGCCTCGGACCAGGGCGGGAGAAATCCACGTCCCAAGGCCTTGACGGAGGGACAGACGTGCAGAAAGTCCCTGCTCAGAAGAGCCAACCTGCGGGGAGCGGGGAGGACACGGAGCAGCTCTCGGAGCAGCTCACGGAGCAGCTGATCCAAACCCCGCCAAGAGGCTGCCGGTGGTGGCTGAGGCGATGCCATCAGGTACGGGCCAGGGCTGAAGGACCGGTCATGGAGCGGGCAGCGGGGGCGGCCCAGGCTCCCAGGTGGGCGCACAGCCGGCAGCGGAGCGGGAAGACGCACAGCTGCCCAGGAGGGAGGCGGGAGCGAGCTCCCGGGGGGATGGCGGTGCAGAGGGTCCTGGAGGCTTAGTCCCCTGGGCACTGGGCAGTGGCTGAAAGTTTTAGGATGGGGCGGGGTGGGGTCATGGTCAGAGCTGTTTTAAGACGATCAGCGCGACATTGTCGTGGGTGGGTGAGTGGAGCAGGAGATCGGCCGCCTCCTGCCCCTTGAAGAAGGAGAGAACCGGACCCTGGGGCGGGGGCCGCCTCCTCCTGCTGCGGAAGGGTCGCCGGCGGCGGCGCTTCTCTCTCTGGGGTCTACCGCCACCTCGCGGCTGTGGCTGGAACAGCACCAGAAGCCCCCAGCTTGGCCGTGGGCCCTGGCCGCTCATCTCCCCTACCTTGGTGTTCCAGCAGGTGAGGAGGAAGTGGGACAGCTTTGTCACCAGCATCCCCAACGTGACCTTGAGTCGGCCGGCCTCCCCGAAGCTCCCACTGGACAGCAGCTAGAGGTGCTGGAAATAGGGTGGACCTTGCTGCGCCCCACGGGACCTGCCTCTTCATGGCTCTGGATGGTCGGCCTCTGTCACCAGCTCTTGGGAGCCTCCGTGTTGCTGTCCACCTTGGCTCTGTCCCTCCCACCCCAACCCCAGCAGAGACCCGGTGGGGCTGAGGAGAAGGCTCTGCTCTGCCCTTGGACGAGGAAGCGGTGAAGGTTGGGGAACTTGCTGGGAGTTGGGGGCGTGGCGCCCCAGCCCCACACAAGACCTGTGCCCGCTTGAAGACAGAGCTGGGTGAAGCCAGACCCGTGGCTGAGAGGCTCTTGGACCCCACCCAGTGTCAGGGACAGCTCCACCTGCCCTTCCGGTCAGTGGTGCTGGGCCAGGGCACAGGTGTCCCTCACAGATGTCAGCCCTGGAGCGCAAGGACCGTGTCTGGAGGATCCTCATTGTTGGGCACTCTGTGACAGAGAGGCCTGTGACCACGTGTGGCCACATTCCGGCCTCACGGTATCCTGATGAAGGAAGCAGGGAGGCCTTCCTTCCCATGTGACAGAGGGAAACTGAGGCAGGGGGATTCATTGTTTGGGGGTACCTAGCCCCACACTGCACCCCCACCCGGGGCCCAAATTTGGGGTTGTAATAAAGACGCTGAGCTGAAGTGAAGGTTTGGCCCGCTGACGCGCACAAGTTCAGAGCCTCTCCCAGCCCCGTGAAGCAGGCTGGGCCCAGAGCCCGGGCATGGCTCTCAGAGGCTCAGAGAGGTGAGGAGCTCTGCCAGGACCACACAGAGGGGACACTCTGATTCCAAGAGCCCGAGTTCTTTGAGACTGCATTCCTGGCGGGGTCCCTGGGGCTCTCCAGGACTGAGCAGGTCTAAAGTCAAAGGTCAGGGGGCAACCAGGCATCCTGGCCCGGGGCCCGTTTAGGGGTTGATGAGGGCCCCCAGAGAAGTGGGCTCCTCAGAGCCCAGAACCCTGGCAGGTCATTCAGGAAGAAGAGAGGCTCTAGGAAAGTGTCGTTCCAGACAGCCAGAGGCAGCCTGGCTCTGAAGCCAGACTGTGGAGCCACTGAGCACAGCTGTAGTAAACTCCAGGCGCCCCTGCTTGGCCCCTTCCTCAGAAGCACTGGGGGTGCCTCCGGGAAACCCCAAGACTCCAGGAGGCAGCTGAGTCCACAGCTCTGAGCAGCCCTGTCAGTGCCTGGAGGAGGAGCAGGCCAGAATGGAGCATTCTGGTCATTGAGGTTGTGCCCCTGAAGTGGACTGTGGGACTCTATTCTCTTTCACTTTCTCTTTGCTTGCTGGCCACAGTTTTGCTGTGTCCTACCATGATGCACTGCCTCACCACACAACCAAAGCAACAGGGCCAATCCATCACGGACTAGAACTTCCAAAACTGTGAGGCAAAAAACACTCTCTCTATGAGGTTATTATCTCAGGTGTTTTGTGATAGTAACAGAAAGCTGACAAACACATTTCCCATCAAGAGCACAGTCTATTTGCCCTCTCCTTGAATCTGGATGAGCTGTGAGACCTACCTGAACCAACACACTGTGGTGAAAATGTCCAGGGCTTCAAAGTCTAGGCCTTGATAGGTTTTGCAGGTCCTACCTCCTGATCCTGATACTACCTCCTGCTCTTCCTTCCTTGGGAAGCCAGCTGCCTGTTGAGAAGGCCAGGCTGTCCTGCTAGAGAGACCATGTGGAGGTCAGGGGCCACAGGGAGCAGGCCTAAGGCAGCCCCACAACCAGCACCAACACCAGTCCTGTGAGACCCCAGCCCCATCCCAACTGACGGCAGCCTGAGTTGTTCCCGCTGACCAGAGAACAGACGAACCGTCAGCCGGGCCCAGCCAACCCTCAGCGTCGAGATGTAAGAAATCCTTCTGGCTTTGCAGTTTGGGGTCATATTAGAGTCCTAGGGCCACTATGACAAATGACCACAAGCTGTTATTAAAGCAACAGAACTGTATTCCCTCACAGTTCCGGAGGCCACAAGTCCCAAATGAAGGCGTGGTCGGGCTGTGCTCTCCCTGAAGGTTCCAGGAAGGCAGAATTCTTCCTGCCCTTCAGCTCCTAGTGGCTTCCCCCAATCCCTGATGTTCCAGGCTCCGCCTCTCAGGGCATTTTCCCAGTGTGTCTATGTCCATGTTTCCCTCTTCTTTTCAGGACACCAGTCCTACTGGATTTAGGGTCCACCCTCTTCCTGTCTGACCTCATCCTAACTTGATTCCCTTTACAGACACCCTGTATCCAAAAAGGTCACACTCAAGATTTTCTAGGTGGGCATGAACTTCGAGAGGGACAAGTTCAACTTGGGGGGGGGGTAGTTGGAGGTGCACAGCAGCTAACCCAACAGCCTGGCTGCCACCGCAGGGTGTGACCTTTACAACAGGCCCCCTCCCAGGGCTGCGGTGGGTGGAGGCAGACAGTGTTGTTCAGTGGTTAGCCACCGCCATGGAGCCAGACTGCCAGGGTTTGAATCCTGACTCTACCAGTTGGTGGTTTGTGATCCTGGACAAGCCACTTACTATCTCTGCCTCAGTTTCCTCATTTGTAAAGTGCGGCTAATAGCAGCAGTTGGCTCCTAAGGTGATTGTGAGGAGCCCATGAAGGCACGTTGCCTAGAACTGTCCTGAACAGAGAGGAAGTGCCCTTCCCACCTGACACACTAAGGCTCACGAGTTTCCAGGACTGGGGAGCTCGCTCCTGATCAAGCACCCTCTTCACATGTGACCTCTGCCCTCCAGGAGCTCCCAGCCTGGCTGGGGGGCAGACAGACGGACAGATGGCCACTGCCCTGCTCCGAAGCAGAATGAAGTGGATGCTCGCTGGGCAGCATGGTGTGGGAGACTCAGGGAGAGTCCCTGGCTCTTGAACTGGCGTGACCGCCTGGCTCAGCTGCACATCTTCCCCGGGTTCCTGAGAGCTTCTGAGGGGGAGAAGCCATGAGCAAGAGGGTAAATGGGGCCACTTGGCTGCGCTAATGGGGCAGCAATGAGGCAGGCAGAAAACACGGCATCCTGCATCTCCAGAGCCAGGGCTGCGGACTCGGGCTGGAGAGGCCCCTGGGGCCCAGCAGATTCAGTCCATTTACTTCACAGATGAGGAAACAGCCCACAGCAGGACAGAGGCAGAGCTGCTGCTGAGAGCCATAGCCAAGTAGGAATGATGCATGGCATTTTGGGTTGAAAGGTGACACCATCAAGCCATTGAGATGATAATGATTATGTAAAGAGGTGCATTCAATTGGAGATTAGACCCCTGCTGTCCGCCTCCCCCTGCTACTTTGGAGCTCTCCTGGGACTCTCCAGAGAGTTCCCATTGGTTGGGGAAGTGTTGTAGGAGGGAATTCCGGAGGAGGGATTTCCTGTTGGTGTAGTGTGTCCCGGGAGAAGGCTGCGTGAGTGGCATTTGTGGGAGTTTTGAAAATAAAGTTTGTTCCTGCCTGAGTGGCTCGTGATTTTGTGCCAGCCAGACTGCAGCATTTGGCGGCCCATATAGGGAACGCCTGAAGCTCGGAGGTAAGTAAAATTGCTCGCCCCTAAGGGAGAGCGAGAGAATGGGTGACCATTTCAAAAAACAATGTGTTCTTGTTTTGATTTATTTTGTTTTTGTTTCAAGCTGCCTATCCCTAGAACTTTCTCAGACAAACCGGGAAAAATGGTTGGCTCAAGGTTTGAAGTTGTTTGGCCCTGAGGAAGATAAAATTGATACAACGATTTTTTTGTTCCGTTTTTGTTTCATTCTGTTTTGGTTTTGTTTTGTGTTATCTTATTGGGTTGCGTTATCTTTATAATAGATTAGAAATTAGCAAAAAACAAACCGAAAGAGTATTAAGTAAATTGTTAGAGGTCCAGACTAGGGTAGAAAACATGTTAGATCAAGCAAAAGAGAAGGTCTCTTGAGCTAGTCAGACAGAGGAAAAAAATTTAAAGGAAGAAAGCTTAGAGGACAAACAGCTATGGGGGGGGGCTGGGGGGAAGCTACAACAGGAGGCTGCTACTAACACCGTTCTATCACCAGAGGGCGTAATTCAACCAACAGCTCCACCTATAGAGACAGCTGAGTGGCCCTCAACCACCTATAGAGACAGCTGAGTGGCCCTCAACCCCCGTAGTTGATAGATGGGATCCTGAGACAGGACCTCAAAGATTACCATGCACTGTACTTGAGCATGCAGGAGGGCAACGAATTCACCATGCTCTAGATTTCAAAACAGTGAAGCAGTTAAAGGAAGCTGTAACAATCTATGGTCCCCAAGCACCCTTCACTGTAAGCATGGTAGAATCCATACCAACTTGGACATGACGCTAGCAGATTGGACTAGCATGTGTAAATCTGTGCTAAATGAAGGACAATATTTGTTATGGAAGGTTGCCAATGAGGAATTTTCCACGGAGACAGCTAGGCGAAATGCAGCAGCCGGTTTCCCTCAAAGAAATATAGATATGTTGTTAGGAAAAGGACCTTATGAGGGTCAACGGCAACAAATTGAATATGATCCTGCTATAAATGCACAGATTGCTGCAGATGCAGTTAGGGCATGGAAGACATGTAAATTTGGATTCATCAGGGCTTAGTGCTGCAGAAAGGCATATGTATCCAAAAAATGTACGTAAGCCTAAGGTACTTTGGAAGGATATTCTAACAGGACAATGGAAAGGTCCTGACCCAGTGATTGTCTGGAGTTGGGGTTCTTTTTGTGTGTTTCCACAGGGAGAACAGCAGCTGATTTGGATTCCAGAGAAACTAACCAAAGCGATTTCTACAGACCAAAAAAAAGATGATTTGACTCAAATCCATAACAGCTGATATCCAGAGCTCCAGCTTGGCTATTCTTACATCTTCGACAGTGATTAACCAGGATGCTTTTTTCAATATCTATTTTATTATTGCCTTTTCCCACATCATAAAGTTCTATTTTATTTTTTGAGCTCATGCAGACCTAGGTTAATGTTTTTCTGATCAGTTTTATTTTTTGGCTGTGGAGTTTTTAAACATTGCAATGGAGATTTCACCTGTGTAAAGCTACAAGGCCTTTACTATTGTCTTATGTGTTGTATGTTTGTGTTCACACTTGTGTTTTGTGTTGTATGTGTGTATGTGCGGTATGTCCATAGATCATATATGAGGAGCGCTCATGAAAAAAAGGATCCAAATATTTTTATTATTCACATGATTTAAATGGTTTAATTTAAATTGTGTAAACAACTGTTGAGGATTATTTTAATATGTGAATGAATAAGGAGGTTAACAGATCTGTTTTTTACTTTCACCTTTCCTTTTCATTATATTTAATAATTCTCTTCAGGATAATGTAAATTGTTCAGAAAATTGTTTTCTTAGTATCTGTTGAAATGTTACATATTTTTTTTAGCCATCATTGCCAGAATTCCTATCTTCATCCCAGTGCTGGTGAAGACAAAGATAAAACCAAACTACAGCTTCTTCGATAGCTATCACAGTAAACTGTATAAACTGATGCATCAATGAATAATAACTCAATAAGTAATGCTCAATCAAGGAGTTGATTTTCTTTTTTTTCTTTTTTTTTTTGAATTTTTGTATATCCTTTTTTTTCAAAGAGAGTGAGTGAGAGAGAGAGAGAGAGAGAGAGAGTAAGTTTTTTAATATGTATTATTTTTTAGTTCTCGGCGGACACA